TGACAAGGGCTCTTATTGAATGAAACATGTCCCTTGCTTTCCTCTTCCTTCCTGAGAAGGGCTGTCTCTTGCTGCTACCTCCAGAGCGGGTTCTGGTTCTCTGGCCCACTTGGGAAGTGACAGCCTGGGGCCAACTCTTCCCTATTCTGCACACACAAAGAAGTCAAGGCTGGACCTTGACACGCTACTTATAAAAGACAACTATTTCCAAAAATACAACTGGATGCTGTTTGGATGGATGGATGGAGACGGGGGTGGGGGTGGGGGGAGGAAGGGAAGAAAGGAAGGAGGGATGGATGGATGGATGGATGGATGGATGGATGGATGGATGGATGGATGGAATTTCACATAGGATTTGAAAAAACATTCAAGTCTTCCCTTCTTGACTAAAGAATTTTTGCCACATTTTCTCCAAAGCAACATTTAAATTAATCCTACTTTCCCATGAAAATAATGTGTCATACTCTTAAAAATAAGAAAAAAGTGAAGTGCACAAAACTCAATAATACAAGTATACTTAAGAATGAAATCAAACTGTTAAAAGTAACAAATCTTAAGGGAAAAAACATAGTTAATATTGGTGTCATGAATCTGACAGTATAATTCTGTATTACATAAGTTTCAGTGTGTCATGTTTTAGTTTTCATTTATCTGTAAGTATTTTCTAATTTCCCTTTTGATTTCTACTTTGATCCATTGGTTGTTTAAAAATGTGTTGTTTAATTTCCACAAATTTGTGAATTTCCAGTTTTGCTTCTGTTATTGATTTCTAACTCCACTTCACTATGGTTGGAGAAGATACTTTTAATGGTATTTTCCTTTTTAAATCTATGGAAACTCTATTTGTGGCCTAATATATGGCCTGTCCTAGAAAATGTACTATGTGCACTTGGAAAGAATATGTAGGCTATAGTTAATGGGTAAAGTATTCCATATATGTGTGTTACATATATTTGGTTTATTGTATTAAGTCCTCTATTTCCTTACTTATCTTTTATCTGGTTGTCCTACCCAATATTAAGAGTTGGGTATTACTGTAGAACTGCCTATTTCTTCTTTCAAATTTGTCAGTTTTTGCTTCCTAGATTTTGATGGTTTGTCATTAGGTGCCTAAATGTATTGTTATATCTTCTTACTGTCTTGAGCCTTTTATTAATTTTCTCTTTTGTCTCTTGTAACCATTTTTTATATAGAGTCTATTGTATCTCATACTAGTATAACCACTCTGCTTTCTTTTATTATTTACTAGTAAAAGATAGTTGCTATTTACATGGCATCTTTTTTTTCATACTTTTACTTTCAATCTATTTGTGTCTTTGGACCTGAAGTGTTTTATAGACAGCATATAGTTGGATTATGTGTTTTTATCATTTTGCCAACCTGTATCTTTTGATTGGAGAGTTTAATTCAATTACATTTAAAGCAAACCTCCATGATACATAAAGATCCACTTCTGTCATTCTGCTACTTATATTATTTAAATATAAGGCTATTTGCCTTATAACTTTTTGATCTATCATTTCCTACCTTACTGTCTTCTTTTGTATTTATTTGATTTTTTTTACAGTGGAATGTTTTAATTACTTTCTCATTTCCTTTTGTTTATATTCTGTAGCTATTTTCTTTGTGGTTATTATATGGATTACATTTAACATCCTAAAGTTATAACCCTCTAATTCAAATTCATACCAGCTTAACTTCAGTAATATATATATTTTTTAAATTGCTCCTTTACATCTCCATCCGTGCCCCTTTTCGTTGTTGATATCACAAAAATAACATCTTTGTGCATTCTGTGTTCAAAAACATAAAATAATATTTCTTTTAAATGTCCTAGTCTCTCAAATTATGTAGAAACAAAAATTGGAGCTACAAACTAAAGTTACAATAGTACTAGCCTTTAAACTAATAATTATTCTTTTTTACAAAATATATTAGTCTTAAACAATGTTGCAAACCAAAAGTGGAGTTACAAACTGTTGTTACAATAGTACTCACTTATAATTTTCTGATAGATTTGCCTTTATTGGGATTTTTATGTCTTCATATGGCTTTCAGTTAGGTCTAGTGTCCTTTCATTTCACCCTGCAGGACTCGAGAATTTGCTGCAGAGGAGACCTAGTGATAACCAAATATCTCAGCTTTTGTTTATCTGGGAATATTTCAATTTCTCCCTAACTTTTAAAGGACAGATTGCCAGATAGTGGATGCTTGGTTGACAGGTTTGTCCTTTGTTTTTGTTTTGTTTTTAGCATTTTTGAATATATTGGCCCACTATCTTCTATCCTCCATAGTTTTTGTTGAAAACTGTGCTAAATATTTTATTCAAGATCCCCTATATGTGATGAGTCACTTCTCACTTAATACATTCAGGATTATCTCTTTGTTATTTAATTATAATTTGTCTTGGTGTGGATCTCCTTGATTTCATGTTTCTTGAAATTCTTAAGATTCTTAGATGTTTATATTCATTGTCTACATCAAATTTGGGAAGTTTTCAACCATTATTTCTTCAAGTATTCTCTCTTTCTTTTCCTTCTGGGACCCTCATAATGCATATGCTGGTCTGCTTAATTGTGTCTCAAAAGCTTCTTAGACTCTGTTCACTTTTCTTCGATCTTTTTTCTTTCTGTTCCTCAGACTCAATAATTTTTGTTTTCCTATCTTTGAGTTCACTTATTCTTTCTTCTGACTGTTCAACTTTACCTCTGAATCCCTATAGTGAATTTTTCATTTTATTATTTATTTCATTATTGTATTTTGCAGCTCTATAATTTCTTTTATTTCTTTTTTTTAGGTTTTCTATCTCTTTATTTATATTTCCATTTTGTCCACACATTGTTTTCTTGACTTTCTCTATATCTTCCTTTAAACATCTTTAAGGCAGCTGTTTTAAAATCTTTGGTTAATATTTCTGCTATCAAGTCTTTTTCAGGAACAGTTTCTGGTTGATTTTTTTTTCCCTTTGAATGGGCCATACACTTTTTGTGAGTTTTTGTTCAAAACTGGACACTTGACTCTAATAATGTTTGAACTTTGGAAATTAGATTCTTCTACCCCAGGGTTTGGTTATTGTTTTTGTTAGTTTTTTTGATGTTGTTGTTTTGTTTTGTTTTGTTTTGTTTTGTTTTGTTTTGTTTTCATTGTTACAGGCTGTCACTGTTGAGTTTGAAGTGTTAACGTAAGGCCTTTTCAAGTCTTTTCTGAGCCTTTCCTTGGCTTTCAGGTTTTCCCCATATATGCAATTGTTCTTGAATCCCTAGTCTCTAATACCTAGCTCCCAAAAGGGGGAAAAAGAGAATAATGAAAGGGGGAGGGATAAGAAATGAATCCCTTGGAATCACTTCAGCCAAAGAGGGGAGGGGCTTGCAACAAGGGTGGAGATACAGCCACAATGGCTGCCTACCTCTCTGTCTGCACCTCTGATCAGAAGCACCAGTGTTCAGAACATGTGCACAGCTGCTTGTCACATGGCTGAGGAGTGAAGGATAGGCACTACTACTGTGCTGAGAACTAAAACTGACTGAAATTAACCACAGTTTACCATCCAAGCCTTCCCCCTGGAAGTTATAAGCCTTTTTTAAAGAGTCCAGAGTTCCAAAATATGGAATTTATGTTATATTAGACAGATTCTGCCAATGCAACTGTTGTCTAGGTGGGGAGACAGATTCCTGATACTTCTCTGCCATCTTCCCAGAATCCACTTTATAAATGAATTTTCATATAATGAATTACTCTTTAAATTTTATATATTTTTTCACTAATGTACATGTTAGGTAAGGGAAAGCGTTAGGATTTTGAGCTTTGTTAGATTTGGAGGAGGATTAATGAACACCAACTATGGGTCTCAAGCAGAGTATGCAAACAATATCAACAGTATTTAAAGGGTGAGTGGGAAAAATTGAGAGGTCATGTTCCTTTGCTTTCTCTGGAATTCTGTCATTTAGTATTGACCACACATTCTGATAGGCAGTCATATTTGTTTTTTATTAACAAAAATTTAAAATAAAATAAGTCAATGCTTATTAAATGAGGTTTAGTCAACCAAAAAATGTTTGAAACATAGAGGCAAAAGGTGACAATAACAGACATAAATTGGTTATGAAAAAGTTAGGAATCACTGTTCTAGAACTTCTGTGAGTTTTAATGAATTTTGTAATGATTCAAAAATACCAATCATATTTTGCACTAAGATACAATTACCTGCTGCACATAATTTAAGAAGATTTCTAAATGCCTGCGTAGTCTTCAAAGATTACAGAATTTTAGAATAAGAGAAGACTTTACAGATTAGTTTTATTTGGTTGATTAACTTTAAGGTGGATAGTTATTACTTGAGAAATTCAGAAATACCTCTCTGAAAATGAGTATTACAGTGGAAAACATCTCAGTAAAAGTTAGAGAAAATGGTATTGGTCTGTGGCATAGTGGAATATTTTTATATGCTGTGTGTTCCATTTAGATAGTGATAAAACTATTGGAGGGTCATTTAGCATCCACCTGTTATACTTTTAAATAAAATTTCAATTTAAAACAGATTTTGAAAATTATCCTTTGAACTCATGCACAGATTTTCTGAAAATGCCTGTTACCCCACCAAAAGATGTCTAATACTCTTCAATTTAAATTTTCCAAAAGAAAATGACAGAGGTGCTTTCAAAAAGTAATCGGTTTTTTCCATAGGTAAAAGTGCCAGTGGTTTAATAAGAAAAATCAAAGCTAAATTTATTGTATAGTTGATTAGCGTTTTAGATTTTCTACAGTACTTTTAGAATAAAGGCTATTTATCTTGTTTAATAAACTGTACATTAAAACAGATTTTTCATTGCCCAAATAAACAGCATCTAACTTCTCAAATGGGTGTTATGGAAAAGAAAAGTTGCACAGGAAGTGAAAAAGATCCAACAGCACTTTATTAAAAATATAAATATCCCTTCTAAAGGAAGTGCAAACTTAAGAGTGTGCCCATAAATGTCCTGACAGCCATGTTGTCCTTTCAGCCTCTACAGATGACAGTGCTGCTGAGAAGAAAGGGGGAACCCTGCACGCCGGCCTCATAGTTGGAATTCTCATCCTGGTCCTCATTATAGCAGCAGCCATTCTTGTGACAGTCTATATGTATCACCATCCGACGTCAGCAGCCAGCATCTTCTTTATCGAGGTAAGTGTGAAGTATGACACATAAGAACCATGCTGGTTGACAGACTCTCTCCCTTTGCTAACCCCACCTGTGTTTAATATTGCGCACATGATTTCTTCGTTTTGCAGTTGTGAGCTGGATGATTTGACACGCACGCGCACGTATTGATAGATTGCTCTCATGTGATGAGTTCAGTTACCTCATCTCAGGAGCTTTTAAAGAAATAGTCTATCTTTCCTTTTACAGATCTAAAGGAAAATAGAAACCATACTTTTTTGTTCTATTATATCAAGTATGTTAACCAGCTGTTCCCCGATTCTAGAAGAAAATGCAGCATATGCTGGAGGCTACAGGACTGTGCTTAAATCAATTAATCAATAGATACTAACAGAGTACTGGCTGGGTGCATCATGCAATATGGTGGGTCTGCTCTCAAAATGCTCAGAAACTATTTAAGAAAAATGATAGCTTTCATTTTAAAGTAACAGATATAACAACCAAATAATGACCGTTTTGTGTAATGTGTGTATATTTATGCATTCATATGTCAACGTGCATATATACACTCATACAAACACAAAGAAAATGCCATGCTCTGTCAGTGTTGTGTTTTCATGTACAAAGGGTAGATTTAGAGCCGTTCCCAGGAGCACTCAGGTGAAGGACCAGGCAGGATCTGTGTATAAAGGGCCAGAGCCAAATCCTGAGGACCAGAAGGTCTGAAACTGGGAAGTCTGGAGGCCACAGGATAAAGTTGGTGTGACCAAGTCACCCTCTATCTCACAGATGATTGGGCTTCCTGGGACCCCCGTATGTGCAGCTTTCATTCCAGCATCTAATGGGGCCTCTGCTCTTCCAACACCAAATAAATACTACAGCAATAAAAGAAGTCTTCCCCCTCAGCGCTTCAAGCATGTCAGTTTAAATCTTTTCCAATTCATTGGTTGACAAATAGAAAGGCTGCTTACAATTTTGTTCAATTGTTGAATGAGAAATTATACTGCCTTTTAAAGTACAAAGTTCAAATTCCTTTTGTCTCCTGTAAGGAGAGGTGAATGCAAATCAAAGAATTGCTCAAAAGCCCTCCATGGCTCTCTATTATCTGTAGAATAAAATGCAGTTTCTTTAGGTTGGCATTCAAGGCCTTGGCAAGCTGGAGCTCATCTATCTTTTCAGCCTTTATCCCAGGGCTCTCCAGCCTATAGTTGGCACTGCCATTGGATTCATTTTTTGCTCTTCTTCACGCACACCCCAAATTCTCCCTGCCCCAAACCATTACTCATTCTGTTTCTTCCACCACAAAAACCCTCCATTTCCACCTCAATTCTTGAGTTCAAGATCCAAACAGCCTTCCGTGTCATGTGCCCCATAAGCTTCGCTGGACCATCTCTCTGTCTAGACAGCTGGATATAATCTCTATCCTGAGATTACGTCCATTGTAGTGCAGTCATATCTTTCTCTGGCATTTATCGTTCTGAGCCACATTAGAGTTAGGTATATACCTGATTTATTCCACCCTATAGACTTTTAAGTTTCTCAAAATTTGGAGTACCTAACTTAAGTTTCTTTCAAATAAGAGGTATCCCATAAATATTTTCTGGGAACAAGGAAGACAATAAATACGAGCATACTAGGACATTTCAAGCTGTCATTAATATTTCACACATGACGTATTCCAGAAATGGCATCCTTGTTTAAAATCATAAGACTGGGGAAATTATCAGGCATTGCATTTAGTTGGAAAGCTGTTATTTAGGTTTGTTAATGTGCTGGATTTTCACGGAAGAAAAGTAGAAAGCTTACCCGAGGTCATGAATGCATGCCTCAGAGAGCTGACAAGTGACAAGCTGTAAAGCTTCGGCGACTAACCAGACAGCAGGCTGCCGCTGTCACCCCTCACATATTTAAGCCTTTTAATACGCTGTACAGTTTATTTTCTGACATCGTAGAAAAGAAGATACTGTGCAATATCTGATGGTGACGGTATTAGCGGGAAATTGCACAGCGCAAAAGGCCTACTTCACACCAGCTCACAGAAATCCTGCCATGACTACAAAGTGAGGCTGGACAACAGTGAAAGTGTTTTATTGACATTTGCCATTTTGAATTAGTCTTACTGTTTTATAATCAGAGGCTACATGTTCAGGTGTATGTATTTATACATGCAGATATTTATAGAATGTTTAGAGCTAGAAGGAAACTTAGAGATAATTTAGTCCTTTTCCCTCATAACACAAAGGAAGAGACCGAGGCTCAGAATGGTGGGGTGACTTCAAGGTCAAAGGGCCGTAGTTCTAGGAAGAACTCCCTACCTTTCCACACTCACATGAAGCAGAACAATTCTGCAGGGTCCCAGCTTTTCTCCTCTTTGCCTTTTTTCTTTCCAATTAAGTCGATTACCGGTTTCTACTTAAATCAGGACCTCTCTGACACCCTGCTAACCTCATGCAGCTCACAGTGGCTGGCCGATGGGTGGTTTAGGAAGGTGATAATCATAACTTTACCATGATTAAAGCTGACCCACATTTGCAAAACGAAACACAGATCCGTGATGATTGCATAGTGAGTGACATGCCAGACCTATGAATTTGAAGGTTTTGAATTACCAATTAAATTGAAGTTATTGGTGCATGAAGAGTTTACTTATATTACATAAATTGCTTTTTATGTTCCATATTATATTGCTATCTAATTTTTAAATGAAATGTAAAAGGGAGAAAAAGTAAAGTCATTTATAATCCCAACATGCAGAAACAATCACTCTTACTATTTTATTTTCTTCTGGAATTTTTATATGCATAATTTGATGTTTGCCCATTTAATATAATTGAAATTTCATTTAAATGCAAATTGATATTCTTTTTATTTTTCAAATAACATTTTCCTATGTTATAATGAACTCTGTATAGAGATTATTTTAATGGCTATATACTATTCCATTCAACACTCATTAAGTAGCTCTATATTGATTGCTTCTTACACTAAGTGGTAATTCCGAAAGCACTGAGGGCCTAACATTGCTTAAAAGTCACAGAGAACTTTCTTTCCACCAATTTAAGACTGCATATTAGTTTTCTACTGCTGCTGTAACAAATTGCCACAAACCTAGTAGCTTAAAACAGCACACACTTATTATTATTATTTTTTTAATATTATTATTTATTTTTAGCTGAGCCATCCTGCTACCTGTTGGCAGCTCAGTGGCAGCTCAGCTCAGCCATGAATCGAACCGGCAACCCTGTTGCTCAGAGCTTGCACTCTTGAGCGAGCTCTTAACCAACTGAGCCATTCGGCCGGCCCGCACACTTCTTATTTTATAGCTCTGGAAGTCAGAAGTCCAAAATTAGTCTCACTGGGCCAGAGTCAAGCAGGGCTGGTGGCAGCAGGGCTGGTGGCAGCAGGGCTGGTTCCTTCTAAGGCTTCTGGCTTCAGCTGCCATTTTTAGCTGCTAGAGGCTGCATGCACTCATTGGCTCCTGGCTCCTTCCAACCTCTGCTTCTGTCATCTCATCTTCTACTAACTCTGACCCCTGACCTCGTTCTTTTAAGGCCCCTTGTGATTACCTCAGAGCCACCTGGGTAATCCAGGATAACCTCCCCATCCCAAGATGCTTAATTTAATCACACCTACAAAGTCTGTTTTGTATAAAGTCTGTATAAGGTGCCGTTGGCAGGTTTTGGCCATTAGGACAAGGGTGGCCATTATTCTACCTACGACAGAATGCATCAAATGTAATATGCATCACGTGCTACCCATTAAACTGGGACACGATTTTGGCCACAAGAGACATCCCACTTCCAGTGATATTAACACGCGACCCACTGTGTATCTTGTGTATTTCACAATGAAATCCAGGCTGCATTGAACACTTGTAGGAATTAGCTTCTGGGCAAGACTCTGTGTATACTGTGATAAAATTTAATGACTTTGCCCTCGAGTGGCTATAGCGGAGTTCATGCAGCCAATCTTGTATTGTGGAGCACTGGGCTCTTCTCATTTTGTGTTATGATGATTAGCCCTATTATGAACACAGTAATGGTAACAGCGAACATTTATTAAATTCACTAGTGGAAGTGATTTCTGCTTATTACCTCATTTAATCCTCATGGAGATTTACAAGGTACCAACATGATTTCTCTGTCATCAATGAGGAAGCTGAGGCATGGAATTTCAGTCACGTGCTCACCTTCATGCATTTAGTCAGTGGTGGCGTCAGAATTTGAGCCAAGGTTCTCCAGAGACCACATCATTAACCACTAGGCGTACTGCCTCTCTGTGTGAAAGGATTTTTCTCCATGCACTCTGTAGAAATATAGGAAGATGTATACCTATAGACATACCTTATGTGCTTAGAACAGAGCCCCAAAAGTAGAATCAAAGGAAAGAAAGAAAGATACTTAATAAATATTGCCAAAATCATTGCCCAAAGATGTACACCAATTTATATAGCTATTGTTAGTTATATAGCTATTTATAGTGATGATTTGTGTTTCATTCTTGCAGAAAATACTCACCAATTATTACATATTTTATGGAAACAAATACTCTTCCTCATATGTGGTTACATGACATTTAGCTTTCGATATTCTTTTTGTTTTAGGAAGGATAAAGTGGAAATTAAAATCTAGAAATGCATCCTTATCTGGAGCTCTAAGTGAATGTCACTAGATGCAACAAAATGACTAAAATCAAGAGAAAAGTACATGAGAATGAGGAGGACTGATGATAAAGCGAAGCATCACCCCATATATTTAAACACCCCATGTAATTAAACAATAATTGAAGTGACTGTTGCCACCCCATGTGTTCATATGTGGGATCAGGTGCAAGAGTTCTCTATTCCTAACACATCAGTATTTACTCAGCCTGACATAGTCGTCTATTTTTCATGAACTTATCTTCTGTAATCCCCCACTCTCCTCTTCAGATCTTACACTGAGGATTTTCTTTGACTTTTTACTGGATGGCTTTCATTTTGTGCTTCCGTCAGGCTTTTCTGAGTAATTTTCAAAAAGATATCT